GTGAGATACACGATGCCATTTTAGAAAGTGGTCAAATGTAACATATGTTATATTTGGGATTACACTTTCTTAGTAAAGTACAGATTCTAGTACTATTTTGGGTTGAGTCCTATCCGGTATTCGAACCCACACCCTCAGGCACAGCCGCGGTGGCTGAGCGGTCTAGGCGTCTGACTTTGTGTGCTTGCGATTAGGTGCCTGACTCTGAGGGTGTGGGTTCGAATCCCGGATGGGATTCAAACCCCAAAAGTACTAGAATCTGTACTTTACTAAGAAAGTGTAATCCCAAATATAACATATGTTAAAAAAGTGAGTGAGGACACATTGTGTTACCTTCCAGGATAATTCTTGGACATTCTGGTTGCTGGTAAAAAACAAATGGTCCGATAAACGAGAGGTCGATATCATGAGCATGATGCATGTTGTTGGGTAACGTGGGTACTGTGACCATCCGACCCCCATTAGTCATCAAATATGGACACACGGATCACAACATGCCATTTGTCCCCCGTGGGGTTTGTAAGGTATAATCCTGTAATTCGAGAAAGACTTTCTATTGTATTAAGGATGCGTACTTCATGTAAGGACGTCACTCTTATTGATGACACACGGATCGCTCTGTGAACTATATGATGTAGTACTAGTACTGTCACTGGTAAACGTTCACTGGTAAACGTGGGTCTCCCGTCTTTATTGCTGCGTAAAAGTGTTATTGATAGTGTTTTAATCAAATTACAGTGTTTCTGCTACGATTCAGTAGATATTCGCAACATTGTGTTTTAACAATAATTAGTTGCCAGGAAGGTATTACGATCCAATTTAAGCAGTGGTGGGGAAGTCACCATATTCAAATTTAGAGTCAAGAGTAATGAAGAATTTTCTGGAACAACATGGTATAGAACATTTTGGAATATATTTAGACCGTAGAATTTCAGGCCTTTCTCATCTCACATCACATTTTCACCCTAGGCATATATAGTACGAGCTGGACCACTGTTGCTTGCAAGGTGAATATGATTAACATTGACGTAATTTCTAATTCCACTGCAACATTAGTTTATGCCGCCCCTGTAACTGAACTGACTTGGAATGTTGCACAGGAGCTGTACGGTCAGTATTATTCCCTGACTGTAACCTGTACTAATATCTAACCTTAGTTCGTATCATAATACAATTGTCAGTTGTACAGGTTCGTTGTTGTGTGTTGGTTGCAAACATGATTGCGTTTGTATTGATTTCTATGTAATATTTTTCTATGCCATCCAAAAAAAAAAGAAAAAAAAACCCCTATCAGTTACCTATTGTGTTCAAACAATCGTCCGAATATGTAACAAAAGTGTTGATAACATGATTTTACACTATTGCACAAGAAAATGTTGATTTTGACGAGGACTAAGAAAACATCACCGCAACGCAACAAAAATCACCTTCCAGTTGAAATTGTGCAGCAAAGTGCATGCACTGGCTGGCTATAAAAATCCAGATTAATTTCGGAAATCGGCATTCGTTTTAAAGGAGTTTCAAGATCAAATTTCTACGCCACGCCTTGACGCTGCGACACGGAACATCGCCATTGAAAGAATGCATGCTGGAGATACCCAATCTTCTGTTGCCAGGCGTCTGAATGTTAGTCTGAGCACGATATCACGGCTTGCCGCTCGTTACAACCAAACAGGTATAACATATGACCGTCCTCGTACAGGCAAACCTCAAGTCAACACTGCAGTCCAAGATCGGTACATCCGGGTACTACCTTTGCTTGATCGTACTGCCACGGGTGAAGGCACATCAGCCAGGATGCCTGAACTTCGGAGGATATCCGGTCAAACTGTACGGAACAGGTTGAGAGAGATTGGACTGAGAGCCAAGAGATCCGACCGTGCTACGTCGTCACCATCGCGCTCAACGTCTCCGTTATCTAAAATTATCCACTTGGTTGTATAGACATTTCCTTCTTCTAACCTGATGTAAAACGTCATGTACTAAAGTCTATTTTTGGACCAGGTATTCATGTTTGAAAGTACAACATTTTCTCAACAGATTTCTGGGTTATGCGTTTCTGTTTTTAACAGTATATTTGAAATGGAACGTAACATTGAATTTACTCTGCCACGTCGTTACTCTTCCACTGTTTAAAAACCCTCACTCCCCATCCATCGACCTACCATTTACCGAAAATCGACTCACTCACTCACTCCATATTCCACTGGGGAAATAGATTATCAGCAACTTGAATATCAGCTGTGCCTGTGTTTCTGCAATGTAAAGAAAGTACTTGTACTTGTAAAATATACACAGAAACACGTACATTGCACATACTGGCTTCTTCAGGCGCCTGATTCTAACTGCTGCTAACTGCTATGTGTTGATGGTAAGGCTGGCTGACCCCATATATGAATATCCTATTTGGCGGAGGGTGACTGAACTCCCGGGCCAGTTTTAAACAAAACCAGCTTATCGATTATTTAGAAAATCGCACGCATTGTGGCGTTTTCTTTAGCGCAAACGAACGTGTTGCCAATTGTGGCAAATCGTTCATTCGGGTGAAACTTCATGTCACGGATGGTGATTTTAGGGTTGCATTAACTCTTGTCGTAATATATAGGAAATGTTAAACAGAAAGAGGTTCCTCGGGACTTATTTAGTAGATAAACATCATGTGTTGGCCAATTTCCGGGTGTTATTGAGTATTTGAAGTACGGGAATTCATTTGGAACCGACGGCGTCAGCCGGAGGTTTCAAATGGAATATTCCCGTGCTTCAAATACTCAATAACACCCGGAAATTGGCCAACACATGATGTTTATCGACATTGTAAACACAAAAGTAAACCAAAAGGTCCACACACGTTTTTGTGTCTGCACTCATTGAAATGTCATCAGTGAAATGTCATCAACCGGCCGTTTCGGCTGTCTCTCATGGTAGCATCTGGAACTGCTCATTTGTGACGTCATTCGGACTTTACGTCACAATATGACTTGAATGACGTTATCACAGCTGACGACGTAACAATACAATGGAGTGAACGATGTTTGTATGTATTATTGTAAACCAAAAGTCACTGTGTCCTTTAATCTGATTGGTTGAAAAACGTGATCAAATGGTATTCGATTCCCGGAAATTCTCTGCGTATTAATACATACGTCACAAATCAGCAGTTCCAGATGCTACCAAGGGAGACAGCCGAAACGGCCGGCTGATGACATTTCACTGCTGTACCCCTATTCGATGTCAATGAGTGCAGACAAAAAACGTATGTGTGCATTTTAGTTTACTTTTGTGTTTACAATGTCGATAAACATCATGTGTTGGCGAATTTCCGGGGTGTTATTGAGTATTTGAAGCACGGGAATATTTCATTTGACACCTCCGCCTGACGCCGTCGGTTCCAAATGAATTTTCGTACTTCAAATACTCAATAACACCCCGGAAATTCGCCAACACATGATATTTATCTCCTTAATACGCAGAGAATTTCCGGGAATAGAATACCATTTGATCACGTTTTTCAACCAACCAGATTAAAGAACACAGTGACTTTTGGTTTACAATGAGCCTTTAAATGTGTTATTTTCCATCAAAATGTAAATGCGTAATGAATTTAAAGAGACTGCCTAACACATTGTCCTTAGATGCCAAGCGTTGGCACAACACAGTATGATGGGCGACACGCTGGTTTGGATCAATCCGTTAATTACCGTCTTCGCCATGCTAGTGGTCGTGACTCAGAGGTCCATCCATATCACGACCCAGAATATGTTGAGCGCGTCATTTAAAACGATAAACATACAATGTATACTAAGGCAAAAGAAACTGTGACGTTTCTCTTCATTATACATTTTTGGAACTGTGCTAACAAGACTGAAACACATACCCAGAACACATCCACAGCCGCCCTGCACACTTTGCTTGGTTGTACAGTGCGTGAAGGATATTTTTTTTAGAATAGCCATCACAATATCTCTGCAAAACTGATGACACCGCATCATTGTCACTTTTGTCGTTGTCAACAGACTCTGTCGTCAGAAAAACAAGTTATTTTTGCATTTTTATGGACATCAGTATGCCACAGTTGACTGAACATGAGAGATGGAGAGCCATTGGCATGATTGAAGCTGGCACACCTCAACGTTACGTCGCACTACTTTTTGACGTCTATATAAACACGATATGCAGTTTAATGCAACGTTATCAGGAGCCCACGTTCAAGACCGTCCCTGACGGGGACGTCCACCAGTGACCACGCCTCGTAATGTCAGATGAATCCTTACCACCCACAGGTTCCAACCTGCAACACTCACAGACTAGACAGTACTAGGAACAAATGGAATCTCGGCAAGGACTACTTGAGGGAAGGTACCCTGTCTCATATATTGTAACTATGTAATGTGAATGACGGATTGCTTGTTTGTAAATTTGATGCTATCATTTTTCTGTTTGTAAATAATAATGGAATGAAAAAATATGTTTGTTTAAAAACTCATTGAAACTTGTACTTAAAATGTGTGTGAATACAGACTTGGTCTCGTCGCGACATGACTGAAATAATGCCGATGCGACGTAAAACTCAACTCAGCTGGTTGAACACTATCCAGTCTAAGTTCACCGAGTAAACTTATTCCGTCACCCGATCTAGGGCCTAGGCATCACAAGTTCAATTTAACGGTAACTGTGTTGCTGAAGGCGATACATCTGCAAGCTTCTAAAGAATCTGCGCTCGGATGCACATCGTTTCTCTTCAGCAGAGTATTTATCTATTCAATCGATCTTTCCTTGAAGACATTTCTATCAACTCGAAGACGCTTTACACATTAAACTTTCACTTTGGCACGGTCCAAAAGTGTAATCGTAAAATACTCTGAAAGAGTCATCCCATCAGAGCATTATGTGGTCAACAATTGACTACTTTGAGGTCCAATGTACACATGATTCAGTAACGATAAAATAAATGCCTCGGTTGGTTGCTGTTCGTATCCATCAACAAAACCCACATCTTATTAGGTGCAAATAAACCACTATGTCACGAGATCCGACGAATAGGCTGCATCTGCCCATGAAATGAAAAGCTCCAGCTCCAATTCTCCACAGGCCGGTTTAACTGCTGATCGTGCGAGTCAGACTTCTCCATCTTCATAGGGAAACAATCTTCCAGCGAGTTAGCGATCAATATATGTGCCATGCGGTTGTAGGACTCGCCATAGACCTCCTACCTACACAGTGGTACGCAGCATACTCACCAAGGTAAGCTTATCTATTAGCTTATTAACGTTCATTGTTGGGCATCATGTTTTCTCCACAGTGTCCTAATATGACCTATATTCCGTTGTTGGATGTGCTGAGTGTTGTGAAAGCAGATACTGTTGACGTTAGTGCAAGGACTAGCGTTGACTGTAGGGATTGGAACACTATACGCTTCACTGGTACACTGTGGGCTGCTGAATTGGTGGATCGTGGACTATGGTTTAGTTGTAGCTGTGGCGGGGCAGTCAGTGGTCAGTGTTGTATTGGGATAGCATTTTGTTGTACGTCAGGTACATAAATGTATATAGGAAATGTTGGATATATCAAGGACCACGTGGAAGTTGACACGTGTATATACTGTGCTATCACTGGTACACATACCATGTTGAAGTTGACACGTGTATACCCTGTGGTATCACTGGTACACGAACCATGTGGAAGTTGACACGTGTATACACTGTGTTTTCACTGGTACACGAACCATGTTGAAGTTGACACGTGTATATACTGTGTTATCACTGGTACACGAACCATGTTCCTATGTTGTTTTAAGAAGTTAATTATAATTAATTAATTAGTTTCTGTAATTTCTGCTTCTGTCAGAATATACACCTGACAACATCGTTCTTACAACAGAAACAACCTATGTGTTAGCTATAAACAGTGGAAAATAGAATCATTGGCTCTTCCATCCGTGAGAATGATAGCGTTGCACACTCAGACATCAATGGTTACAAAGTGACATTCCAGAGGACGTGCGATGTGCGAGTGCATCTAATCGCGTATTTCTACATGGTTAACGATCACATGGGAAAGGTTTAATTGTGCATGGCAATGATAGCTCTCCGTCATCCTCGTAATGCCGAGTATCATCAGAAACACGTGTAGCATGGAAATATGCACCAGAATCACAGCCCAACCATAACAAGCATTTGGACGTCACGATATGGCTGCAATACTGCCGATGTGACTTAAAATCTTAACTCACTCACCATTTGGAAACAGATAACTACATTGTAAACAGCCCATGAATTAATGATAAAATATAAATCACAGATGTACGAGTAAGCGAAGAACCAGACATGGCCTTATACATGTTCAGTCTACTCAAATCTATACATATACTATACACTCACATCCTACTTATTGATGTCTCAGTATGTTTTCACAGGTTTGATTCCACGTTTGTCTCAGCGTCGTGTGGTGTATATTTTGACTTGTCTCAGCGTCGTGTGGTGTATATCTTGACTTGTCTCAGCGTCGTGTGGTGTATATCTTGACATCCCACCTAAGTAAGTCGGCCTAATGTCGTTATATATTAATAAAGAAACATCCTCATCAGAGCATTTATTGATATTCTTTAAGTACCTGCGGCCGCTCCCCCTGTATGTGAGCCCCAAGTCCCTCCCGCACCATGGGGGAATTACCAACACGGTATTGATTACAGACGGAAGTCTTCCATATTTTATTGCAACTGTTTGTATGTAATTGTGGAATTTAGTCTTCACGGTGAAGGATGGGGTCGATACTCCCGACACTGAGCAGTCCACAGTAGCGCCAATCAACGGAACTATTGTGCCTTCATTAGGTGTAACATTCTCAGAGGGTTGTATAGGTAATCTGTATTTGGGGTTGGACCTTCAAGTCGTCATTGTACACACAATATGGACTTGAGCCTAGATGTTTGAGCTGTTGTTATCACAACCCTTCCTGACTATATGAGAACGCATTAATGAACAATGACAGCATACACATTTTCCTTTAGACCGTTGGGAGAATATACTAATGAAACAAGCTTAATTTTTTAATAGAGAATTCCAAATGAAACATCTGAAGCTTGGAAACAAACTGGTTTACTAGGGTGGGTAGGGGTGAGATTACTGTTACATTATTTTGTCGCTCATTTTATTCGCAGCCAATTTCAAACCTGCAGGGTAATAGAAATGTTGTCAGTTAAGTGAAGGTGTTTACATGCACATGTTTACTTCACTTTAAACCTTCACATTTCCACTGTGAATAGAAGGTCACTTTCGTACCTCTGTTCTCTCTGTTGAAATATTTCTGAGATCGCTTTCACTAAAAACTCTATAATTGAAGTGGATTTGAAATTGAACTTTAATTGAAGTGGATTTGCAGATAAAACGTGAGAGGCTATTTTTGCATGAATAACTTAATATGTTTTCATCATTATTACAATGTTTATGTGGTGTACTTGCAATGTCAATGATTAACCTCTCAAATGGTTTTAGTTATTGAAAAACAAATAATAAATATTGTGTTGTGTACTCTGGTGTCCACGTCAGTCTAGGGTTAGACGTGGCCTCTAGACTAAGAGACTTGTGTCACACTGAATATATCAAAGCGACAAGACCCCTTTCCATATTCGTAAACAAATATCTTCCAAACGTCAATTCCGACATGGGATTGCGCTGGGTAGCACTTGCTGGGTACATTTAACGGTTGGTATACTAAAGTACACTATTCAACAAGACACAAAGCTAGTTTACACGATGTTTTGTCAATGTCAATATGGGATATGGCATACCGTATATAACAATAAATACACTTTGACATGTAGGGGATATTTAGTGACAGTTTTCTATTCGTCGTCAAGCTGTGAATGATATGACCTGTAAATATATGCTAGGCTTATACATACATTGTAATTGAATGAATGTGTGTATACAGTGTACCTGTCTCTTGACAGAATCACCTCGTTATCTCAGTACTCTCACACATTGCACACTGGAGATTCCAGCCTCAAGACTGCAGTATAATATACCCAGGCAGGTATTGTATTCAACATTTGGTCATGTTGGATCTGATAAAAGTCAAGTTGTTAGCACATAAATATTTTATCTATTCAATTTCATCCCGCTGTCTTATGAAGGGTTAAATCAATACTCAAGATGTCCCGCAGCCTTGAGTGAGTGGGTGATCTGGGCCCATCATGTCGGGAGAAAGTACTTCACAGATTGCATGCATCAGGTCGTGGGTGTCAGCTGAAATATAAGTGTCAGAATCTAGCCATGTGCACAAGGAGAGTCTCGATGTCTCAATACACCATTGTTCATTAGTCAATATCAAATAGTGACGATCCCAGGTGTTCGAGCAAATGTGTGGCTGTCCTGCCTCACCCGTGTCACCGCCACTATCACACACCATTGAGGAATCCCTGTTAGCAGTAGAATAGATTGTACAATTCTGGCTATAGGATGAGTAAGGGTTTGTTTGTTTATATAACGCTGCAGTCAGCAGCATTACATCTGTATGACGGCGGTCTGTGTCAGGATCCGACAATCAGGTGATTGACATCATCAAAAACGACGACAGATCAAGAGGCCAGTGAATTGTTCATCTGCAACCTCGAGAATATTTGGTGGAAGTAAAAATGGGGAATTGCGTCAGACATACACTTTGTCGCTGGTGCTTCTAATTTGGAGAGTTCCTCACGGGTCACATAACGCCCATTAATGTCTGTGTAGATAGGATATGCCCGATTGTACCTCAAAAGTGAATGAAGACTGGAGCTGCTGGAATATTGCCTGACATCGAAATGGCTCTTGGAAAGCTAAAATCACCCTTCTTATGATACGCTCACTCTGAATATTACATCTAAATGTGAGGCGGTTTCCCCGGTTGCTCACGTGTGGTTGACACTACTTTGCTGGCTTTGAAGCCCTCCTATAGTCACAAGAGAACGAAAGCTGTCTAAAGAGAGTCGTTTGTATTAGTCTCACTCTGTTATGAGTATGTGTGCATGCATCGCTCTAAAAGTCCGGACACCGGGTGTTCGGGACATGATGTATCCCGCACCAACGGCGACACCCGTCCAACACATGCGAAAGGCACATCAGCTGTCCATCTAAAACACTGGATACTATCGTACAACTGTTGCATCTTCGGGTATGGAGGATACAATCACCCGAGCTATAGTATGAGGTGCCATTTCCTTTATTGAAGTTTATATACAATGTGAATGGTGTGCCACTAAATATAAATGTCCTTTATTGAAGTTTATATACAATGAATAGCAACTAAATATAAATGTCCTTTATGGAAGTGTGAATAGCCCACTAAATATAAATGAAGTTTATATACAATGTGAATGGTGTGCCACTAAATATAAATGTCCTTTATTGAAGTTTATATACAATGTGAATAGCATGCCACAAACTATAAATGTCCTTTATTATAGTTTATATACAGTGTGAATAGCATGCCACTAAATATAAATGTCCTTTATTGAAGTTTATATGCAATGTGAATGGTGTGCCACTCAATCCAAAATGTCCTTTATTGAAGTTATATACAATAATACGTAGTCTATACATGATTGTGAAGATCACATGGCACTAACCTGCTAGCAAAATAGAGCTAACCAAGCATGTCAGACGAGTTCATCAAAAGGTTTGATAATGGATTTGACTCGAATGTTTGCTGCAGTCCAACTGGGTTAAGCACACAAAACGTACAGATTCGAATCACTTGATAACACAGCAATTACAGCGTGCACGCGAATAAAGCATACAGGTGAATAACTCCAGCAGAACATATACTTGATCCTTGGAGAACGATCCCAAGGGCGTTTATACAGATATGTATTGTGCTTGGCACGCTGATGACTTCCGTGATTTGGCGGTAAACGTACACTGGAAACTCGCACGACACTAGAAATACCCGCGATCTGTTGAGGTTGCTGTAGGTTGATTGTCGTGAGGGTCAACACTAGGAATACCCGCAATCTGTTGAGGTTGCTGTAGGTTGATTGTCGTGAGGGTCAACACTAGGAATATCTGCTATCTGTTGAGGTTGCTGTAGGTTGATTGTCGTGAGGGTCAACACTAGGAAAATCCGCTATCTGTTGAGGTTGCTGTAGGTTGATTGTCGTGAGGGTCAACACTAGGAATATCCGCTATCTGTTGAGGTTGCTGTAGGTTGATTGTCGTGAGGGTCAACATTAGGAATATCCGCTATCTGTTGAGGTTGCTGTAGGTTGA